GTCACTGAAAAGGTTAGCAGCAAACCAGCTAGCAAGAGTGCGACCCCTGTTCCTGCTGCAGCGCAGAATGGTCCAATCCCGCCTGTCGACACCAAACCCTCCGTATCCGAAGCTACACAAGGGACTACTGCCCCCGCTGCTGCGCCGAATGTAGCTACCACAAAAGCAGGACCAGGACCAGCCCCTGCCTCCTCGTCAGCAACAGCAACTCCTCAGACGCCGTCTAAGGCGCCACCATCCGGCCCCAAGAACGATCGATTTGTGCCAGCCATTCCGATCTCTAATCCTACCACCAAGCCGGCCACGACAGCTGCTGCCACTCAGTCTGTTGCTAGTGTCGCTGGAGGTGCGACTACTCAGGCCACGGCATCTCAGGGCACGGCGCAAGCAGCCATTACGGAAGCTGCTCGTGCTGCAACCGCGGCTGTCGCCGCTGCGATGGCGAAACTTCCTCAGCCAAATGCCCAGAAGAAGGCACAACAGAACGATGCCAATGTCGAGACGGTTACCAAGAAACTGAATGACTTGAAAACATACGATGGAAACCGGGGCCATCGTGGTCAGGGTCCGCGAGGCGGTCGTGGAAGTCATCGCAATCAGCATCACGCCCCCGCTAAGAAGATTGAGGTCCCTGATACCGACTTTGATTTTGAATCTGCGAATGCCAAGTTCAACAAGCAAGATCTGGTGAAGGAAGCCATTGCGTCTGGATCCCCCATGCGCGAGTCCGAGGAGAAGGATGCCAACGGGGCTGGTACCGAAGGCGCCAAAGAAACGATTCCCGTCCCGACTGCACCTGGACCTGCTTACAACAAGGCCTCGTCCTTTTTTGACAACATCTCCAGTGAAATTCGCGATCGGGAAGAGGGTATCAGGCCTCGTGAGCGACGCGGGGAAGAGGAAAAGAAGAATATCGAGACTTTTGGTCAAGGAAGCGTGGATGGCTATCGCGGCAGCTACCGGAACCGTGGCAGAGGGAGGAACTACGGAGGATCCAGGGGCCGCAGTGGCTACAACCGGAGTTACAACAATCGCGGACGAGGTGCTTTGCGAGGCGGTCGTGGTGCTTCTCAAGCTACCGGTGTGCCTGCGCAGACTTAAGTGGTCTCTGGCTTCTTGACTCGGCCACGTGGTGTTTTGACCCGATGTTTGCATGTTCTATGGCCTAGCCTCGCATATGAATGGGTTCGAAATGCCACCGTATATGAGAATTTATGTCTGGGAGGCTTGCGTACTTTGATCTTTCTCTCTCTCTCTTCCTTTGGTTTAGTACGGAGATCTGCGATGGCATGGGTATGTCGGATGCACAGACCACAAATTGTTCTTCATCTTCATCTCGTTTAGGGGGCACTGGCGTTCAGCTTTGACCAGTTGAAAGGGTTGGGCCATGGCTGTGCGTTATGCTTTCAAGTTATTTTCATAATTTGTTTTCTATCTGGCTCTGCTTGAACAAAAGGAATAGGACTTGTGTGGCATGGAAATCTGGTGGGAAAATCCCCGGGCACGAGATGAGATACGCTTATTTGTCCTTGCTCTCGTTCAGATTGACTGCCTCTCTCCGAGTTGTTCTCTTCTGTATATCTCTCTTTGCCCGGTAGTTTCCCTGGCCTGGGGTTCTCACATTTCTTGTGTCTTCTTTGCTCAGCGCTGCATGCGGTGCAATTCTCTCGAACTGTCCAACACAATCGGTATCTATGGGAGAGCTTCGGTGATAATGAAACAGCATGTGATGGGGGGAACGATCTCAACTTGTGTGTAACATACAAGAACCAAAAAGCTAAGCCCTCATTTGAATGAAAGTCGACAAGAAAGGCCTTAAGAAAGACCTTAAGTGGTGAATAGATGCTAGAGTTCTCGTGAATAGTATTGCGTAGCCCAGGCTCGTAATCGACTGTTGAACTGCGCTTTGCAGAATTTCTAATACCTACTGACGAAGTGAGAGAATATTCGAAAACTGAACGTTTTCTTTTGGTCTGCCCCTGTCTCGGTGTGACGATATTGCAGGCGCATGAGGAGAAACACAGCGACAAATCACTCTGCCTCATCGATTCCTCAGGCGTGCTGCGGGTCGGGACTGAACGGCTACTCCGCACGGCCAGCGTGGGCGGGTCCCATCAATGCCAAAAGTGGTAAGGAAGCAGCGAAACAGCCGCGGTCCAAGGTTGTCCTTCACGAGTGCCATCCCCCTCCACGCCACGTTCGGCCCTGCAGTCAGGCTCCTGATCGGGCCTCTGTCCAATTCTTCCCAGAGTCCAATTGCCAGTGCGAAATAGGACTGCCTTTGCGATCGCTGTGGTGCTCTCTCATTGCGTCTGTCGCGTGCCTGTCAACCGAGGGGAGAAGAGCAGCGTCGGAGACAAGATCTCCTCAAATTCCTCTCTTATTTTTGCCCGATTTCTGTCCCTTTTTTATTTGATATCCTACATATTTCTTATCCTCTCCTTCTCCAGTGCCATTATTTTTTAAAAAAATTGTATTAATACTGACTCCACTGCCACATCTTGTGGCCGGTTGTGCGGGTCGCACCAGCACTCAATCTGATGAAGAGGGGGGAGGAGTATCTTAACTCACAATGTCGGATTCCGTCGGTATGTGTCATTTCAGATATGGTCTCTTGACAGTTTTGGGACCACCAAGGTTCTATATTGTGTTTCTATCCGGAGCTTGTTGGTCCATAGGCTTACCAGGGATGATATCATAGATCGAGTCTTCGTCCATGCTCTCAACACGGTCAAGAAGATCCCGCGGACGGGCACCTCCAGACCACCGGCGGCGGAGCGGCTAAAACTCTATGGATTATACAAACAGAGCATGGGTAGGGCTCTGGTTCTATTGATATTTAGAGAAATCGGGCGCCCGGACTAATTCTGGTTGTCGACATTCGCAGAAGGAGATGTCGAAGGGATCATGGATCGTCCAGTTGGGGACGGGCCGGATGTTCAAGCCGAACGCGAAAAATGGTAAATAATCGGATGCTACAGTCGTGAATAAAACTCTTCCCTGACGTATTCTTTTCGATTTCGACCTAGGGATGCGTGGTACGCGCAACGAGGTCTTTCCCGTACCGAAGCGAAACGGCGATACATCACGACCTTGATCGATACGATGCATCGATATGCGTCGCAGACTGCTGAGGCTCGCGAGCTTGTATCCGAGCTTGAGTTTGTCTGGGATCAAGTCAAGTCAAATACTTCGACATCCTCCTCCTCCAGTCCGATGCAGCCTGTGAGTATGCCGATAGCGTCCGGGCTACAACCGCAACCGCACTACGGAAGTATCGATAGTCGCATGAGTCGACGGAACCCAAACGACGATGGTGATGAAGATCTGGCGGTTTATGCCAGAAGAGACTCGAGACTGCGGGTCCTCAGTCCTGTGAGTCAGCCGGAAGAGGAGGAAATGCAGGATTCAGAGGATGAGGATGAAGAAGAGAACTATGAAGAGGCTAGGGACGTTCCCTACGATGAAGACGAGGAAGACGATGACAATATGCCACACGGCCGAAGAACGGGGAGGACGGGGCGCGGGCCGCAGAGAGATATATCCAGTCGTAAATGGAGGCGGCGAGTCGAGCAGGCCTTGACGAAGATGACCGCCGAGATAGCCGCATTACGGGAGCAGATGGAATCGCGCGCAGTCTCCAGCCGCCGTCGGTCGAGTTTGTGGGCGTGGCTGAAGTGGCTTTTCTGGGTCGCCATGAGGCAGATCCTCTGGGACATGACGCTCTTGGTCATTGTGTTGATATGGCTGAGAATGAAAGGCGATCGCCGACTCGAGCAGAAAGTGAAGGCGGGCCTTGTGGAGCTGAAAACTCGATTAACACGGCTGAGGCTACCGAAACGGCTCCCTCGACTGCCATCACTGCCGTGAGGAAGCTCTCTCTCGCACCGAAAGCATCTTTTTGTGGATATATCATCCGGGCCTCTGGAAGGTAACATTTGTTGTCATTTTCGTGTATTGTTTGCTGTTTTGTTTATTAATGTCGATGCAACGTCAACGTACTGGGAGGCTAGCATGTACTCGGAGTTATAGGAGATATACTGGCACCATTTCATCTTAATGCTATGTCATGAAGGCTGAAGGCTTACTGGGTTAGAAATGTCATTGGAAGAACTTAGGTAGATACATTCTTTTTGTCTAATTCTAGCTGATGTAGTTATATCTTTGTCAGTAATGGCGTGAATGTTTATTACGTTTGAAAGCGGAGATACTGAGCTGAAGATCTATATCTATATCTGCTCTTGGCTTGAGATAATAAAATAAGGTATCAAGCTAATAGTGTAATTGTTTGCGAGCTTTCTTAAATACGTCTCTTTCTTTTTGTTCTTTTTTTTTTCTTTCTTTTCGCTTTGGATTCGAACAATGTCTGTATCATACAGCAGGCGCTCGCACAATATATATTTATTCGACTCCGTACCCGATCTTCATTTCTTCATTTACCCCGCGGCTTTCCCCACAAAGCATCCATGGACAGTACAGGACAAATATTACAATCGATTCCTAACTTCACCTCTATTACCTACCTACCTTTTAAGATATCTAGGTAGTATACCGTCGTGAAGACTTATCTAATTGATAAATACCTAGCACTTAGCACGTAGCAATTGACATTGCTTGCTTGCTTGCTTCTTTCTTTGACTTCAAAAAACACAGATATATAATCAATCTATTGGTAGAGGTACTACTTGTTTGGTCGAGAGAAGGATTTCAAGCTAGCTATGTCGTATATAGATAGACACGCAAGTTGCTCTGTCTTTCGTTCTGTGTTCTATTTCATCGGTCACTTAGAGGGCCATCAATCATGGGATTGGCGGATCTATCTGTCGAGTGAGTCTCTTGCTGGCGATGAAGTTCACTCTCGGTATGTATGTACTGTACATTACAACTGGAGTATTCAAAGAAAGTGAAAGAATTGGAATCGAGGAGAGGAAGCCGCATCGATTCCATTTAGAACTAACTGCATTGAAACATCCTCGGGTCATTGAGTATGCGGCATTGTCCTCGTCTTGCGCAGGCTTTGTTATATCAATAGAGGCATGCTCTCGGATTTTTTTTGGCAGTAATTCAAGGTTGAGAAATGGGAAAATAACTGTCTCTTCCTCAAGCATAAAGACTCATTCAAGTCTGGAAAAAAACAACCAGTGATCATTCCTGATGCTTATATTTACACAAACGACCTTCACGTGGGGAAAAAAATAAAAGAAAATTCATGTTTTAGAGGATATGTGCATCTAGTATTGCGGTCCAGGGTATTGTGCGTAGAGCTGCTTTGGCCGCAGGTGAATTGGGGTCTCACCCTCTGGGGTTCCGGGGATGACCTTCTTCAATCCCTGTGTTGTCCACGTCAGCGCATGCAATATTATAAATTGAGGGAGAAAACACGGCCACTGCGTACCAGCTTCTCAAACACACAGTTGTTCAATTCCATCTCCGGCTTCCGACACTCCCAGAGGTGGTGGTTGTTGTTCTCGAGGCACTCCCAGTGTGCGTTGAACTGCTTCAAGCAGTGCGTGTTGATGTCCTTGATCCTGGAATTGTTCCAATCCCACGGTCAGCTAATTCTCTCCGAAGTGATATCTGCGATGTCTCTGAGGCAGGCAAGACAGGACATACACGCTCGCAGCGCAACGAGTGACCTTTCGACCCTCCTTCAAGCATTCCAGCTCGCCCCGTCCTTTGGCCTCCTCCTTGCACTTCATGTAGTCATCGTTGTAGGCCCGGCAGCGGTCGCCAATGAAGAAGGACGCGCTCAGCAGCGGGGCAGAGGTGGCACCGATCTCCTGCACCTTCGGGATGTCATCGGGCATCGGAGTCGTGTCGTAGAGGAGGTGCTGGTTGAACCTGGGCACGACGGCATGATTAGCAATTGAGAGGCTAACTTGCAAGGCACGAATGAGGCTCATACTGGGGCTGCCTTCTCGACATCTTGGCGGTGTTGCTGGTCGCTCGCTGTCTGCTCAATTGAATCTAGGATCGAGCCGGAGACGGAGGATGAGCTGCGAAGTCGAGGTCAGTTCTTTCGCCCGCTTTCTGATTGGTCCGTCCGTTTCCGCGCAGCTTTTCGGCCAGTATACTGCTTACATAATAATGATACTTCGAGGTACTGCTGTGCTAGCACGCTAAGTCTAGGAGTCTAGCTTTTGAATTGAAAAAAATATTGCTATCTATCTTTGTATCTCTGAGATTCTATTAGGAATCATTTATGTTTTATTGTCCTATTGAAGTGATGTGTTTGATTTACTGCAAAGTCACGTGTTCTGGTGTCCCGCGAAACGCTGCAATTCACCGCTTTGGCGATCAAAAAACAAAGCACCGAAGAAGTCAATTACGGTTACCGCGCTGCTGCGGTTGTTGACCCCAGACACCAGTGCCCAAGGGATCGAACTTCCTTCCTTGACAGATCCCTCTTCTTTCTTGTCATGCGGGCTCTGAATTAGTCATTCTTTAGATTTTGCCTTTCTAAGTGGCGCTTCAGCTCGCATTGCCTCAGTCGCGATTCTGTTGTCCTCGATCGATCTGGTTGTACTTTATTCTCTCTTTACCTTTTAGAACAGCCAGCCACGATGTCTCTGTTCGGGAACCAGAACCAGAACCAGCAATCGCAGTCTGGTAGCCTCTTTGGCAATACTGCGAACAAACCCAGCCTGTTTGGCGGCTTTGGCTCGAGCACCACAGGGACCCAGCAGAATCAGCAGAACCAGCAGAGCGGGGGTGGACTTTTCGGCTCTACGCAGAACAAACCTGCTGGAACAGGCCTGTTCGGGTCGACGCAAAATCAGCAGAGTGGTGGTACTGGGCTGTTCGGTTCCACAACAACGTCACAACCGCAACAAACTGGAGGTTTGTTTGGGGCGTCGACGCAGAATCAGAACCAGCAGCAGCAGTCGGGGTTATTCGGCGCGTCTACTCAGACTCAGAATCAGCCGCAATCGACAGGATTGTTTGGATCAAGCACGCAGCAGAAACCGCAAGGGAGTCTCTTTGGCGGATTCGGACAGCAACAACAACCCCAACAGCAGCAGCAAGGTGGTGGACTGTTTGGGGGAACGAGCACCACCACGCAGCAGCAGCAGCAACCGCAACAGCACTCACTCTTTGGAGGATCTTCTCTTTTTGGTGGTCAACAGCAGCAGGCGCAACAACAGCCTCAATTAGGGCAGAGTGTGGGTCAACAGCAGAATTTGGGTTCGTCGCTATGGTCGCCAGGTCGTGCGATTACTGGAGGTAAGTCTTTCCTCATTGTATTCACGCGAAGCCACAACTGACGTCGTGGAATAGTCCATAGAACGGTGCCCATGCAGATGTTGATCGTCAAGGACAAATGGGAGCCTATCAACCGATCGTCACCCTTCCGAACATATCTGTACAACTATGTTGGTGAAGAGCAATCGCCATTCTACCAGCCAGGCCCCGACGACGATGAGAACAAATGGGAGGAAGCTTTACGAGAAAGACCCAATGCTGGCTATGTCCCGGTCCTCGTGAAAGGGTTCTGGGAGCTCGGGAAGCGCGCACAGAGGCAGAAGGATTTCCTTACCATGATGCAGATTCGCCTTCACGAGATCAACAAGTGCCTTACAGACCTGCTTTCTCGCCATGACCTTAAAATCTCGGTCAAGATCGCTGACTGTCGGCGCAAACATCTTGTCCTGAGCCAGCGTTGCCTCTCTCTTGCTGCAAAGACCCAGGTGCTGCGAAATCGGGGCTACGCTATGGACGACGCAGAGGAGGAGCTGAAGAAGAAACTACTTCAATTGGAGCGTGCTGTCTTTGATCCATCAATCACTGGACGGGCAGAGGAGATCTGGGCAAGAATGCTTGCCATTCGTGAGCATTCCAAGCGATTGCAGGCGGAAATTGAAAGGGCTGGCCCCGGCGCAGCGACAGAAGCGGACGAAGCGCTCGATGAATCTGTTGTGAAGACTGCGAAAAAGGTACGGCATGACTACCCCCTTTCAAAAAAGGCCTAGGCATGGAAGTCCTTGATGGAAGCTAACAATGAACACAGGTCTTGGAGGATTATGCTTCTCAGATCCAGCATTTGCACAAGGAGCTGGAGGCGGTTCGGAAGGATTTTGAAGAATTCGAGAAGTCTGCCGGCGGCTCAGCCGGTAATTAACGTAGAGGTAATGGTTGAAAGTCCTGTCTAGTGAGGCTTTGGATCCTTTCTTCTCGAGTTTATTTCTTCTTCTTCAATTTCTGTCTTATTTCTCCCGGAATTTTCTTTTTTCCATGGTGATTAGTTTATGAAGAAATCTTGGTTTCTTTTTTTTTCTTCTTTTGACGAGTGATCCATTACCAAGGGAACAGGCGTTTTGGGGAACGAGCTGGTATTGTCAGGTCGTCGGGTTTTGAGCCTTAAACAAAAGAAATAAACGTCATACCATGATTCTCATGCTAAAGCTAAAGATATCCTATTAATAATACATGCATGTGTTGAAGATCCACTTGTGGAGTCCTCTAAACAATTAAAAAAGAGGCATCAAGACCATTTTTGCTCTGGCGGCCCGATAGACGTGACATGGATCACAGAAAAAAAAAGCGAAGCAAGCCGTCTATGTAATGCACGCTCGCATTTGCTTGTTGGAAGTTTGTATGTGGTTGTGGTTGTCTCGAATATACCTCCCTTGAATATTGGGTTTGGATGGATGGAATCACAGGAACTTCTTCACGAAGTCAATGGCGAAAGGAGCTGGAGCAAGCAGGTAACAATTAGCTTTCCCAGGTCGGATTTGTATAGTTTGACGAGAAAAGATAGCACTTACAGAGGTAAAGCAAAATGCTACCAGCGACGACCATCTTAATAGTCTGCTGCGCCTCGATTTCTCCAGCCTGGGACGGAGGGCATCTCATGTTAGCAAATATATCGGTATAAATTGTCGACGGAACGGTGTAGGCTCGAGGGGTTTCAAGAAATCCGTATAGGCGCATACCTTAATCTCCTCCTTAGAGAGCTGTTCGTGACCTGTAAAACAATAGAATAGCTTTGTTAGCCTCTGTCTGTATTGTTTGTATACAAGACTTGCCCAGTTGGGCCGAATAGCGCGGGAGAAAAAATAATAACACAGTGAATAAAAGGAGCGAGAAAATTACCTGGGGCAAACATCTTGCTTGATTTGCTAGGAATCGTCTATTCTTCCGAGTCAAGATAATAGAGGGCTTAAGAATAAACGACTGTTGCTATCCAATAATAATAAAATTGATAGACAATACGGCGGATGAGGTCGAGTGAATAATTTCCCCAGCAAGCTTGCACTCAGCTTCAGCGGGTGCACAGACCAACGCGACTTCCGACTGCCTCCCGAATTTCTTGTTGGAGCCGCAACGTCGTCCTCTTTGACCAGCCACCCCACAATCCACTCACTTCTCTCTCAGCTTTCATTACTTTCTACCTCCTTATCTCAAGAGCTTGCTCGATTCTCGCGACTCTGTACAGTTTTGACTTTGGTTTCTCCCCGGCTCTCTGCGCCTTCAGGCCTGCTTGACGTGCGCGGAATTTGCCAACCGCGTCTAAACGCCGGAGGACGACTTAGTCGCGACATTTTCATTTCTCTAATCACTCTTTGACTGTTTCTTCTTCGAAAACAGACGTCTTACTTAGATCCACACATTTCGTCATGTCTGCTTCACCAGAGCCTCAGCCAGGCTCGCCCGCGGCTGCTGTGGATGGGGAGCACGAAGAGCACGGCGCTGAGGATGTCGTTCGCGAGGACACCCATCATGAAGATGAAGAAGCGGAGGATCTCGCAGAGAAAGACGGAGAGGAGCCCAAAGCCGATGAGGCTAATCTTTCCGATGACGAATCTGTCCTCTCTGAAGTGGATGAGGCTCAGTTCGAGGACTTCAATCCGGACGATGTCGCCATCGAGGACCGCCCTACGCTTGCCATCGACGAAGAGAACTTGAAACTGATTGGCCGACACAAGCGCAAGAGACGCGATGACGGAGAAGAGGAGCGACCGAAGAAAAAGAAAGAGGGACGGAGGGAGAAGAAAAGTCGCCGCCTGAGAGAGTCCGCCAGTGCGGAGGCAGAGGGCAAGGGATCCCGCAAGAAACGAGAGGCTACACCGGAGGATGAGGAGTTGCTTGATCCGGCAACCAGTAAGTTCCCCGCTGTTCAGCGATGGTAGGGGAGGAGTTAGAGCTGACGAGACGGACAGGACGCCGTAGAGCGCTCGATAGGGCTATGGACGAAGCTCTCAAGAAGCCATCCAGGCGAAGGCGCAAGGCTGATGGCATTGTACGAACGCTCTCCGCTCCGGTTGGTGTGGTCATGTGTTGCTGATCGATTGAAACAGGACCTGGAACAGATGGCAGATGCCGAGGTTGAAGAGATGCGGAAACGCATGACGCAGGCTGCACAGCTTGATGCCATCAATCGTCGGGAGGGTAAACCCGCGATGCACAAGCTCAAGATGCTACCGGAGGTCGTGTCGTTGTTGAACCGCAACCAGTATGTCAACAGTCTGGTCGACCCTGAAATCAACCTACTGGAAGCAGTCAAGTTCTTCCTCGAGCCTCTCGACGATGGTTCTCTGCCGGCGTATAACATCCAGCGCGATCTTATGGAGGCGCTGGCCAAGCTTCCCATCAACAAGGAAGCACTTATTGCTAGCGGCATTGGCAAGGTGATTGTGTTCTACACGAAGAGCAAGCGGCCAGAGGAGAAAATCAAGCGGATGGCCGAGCGTTTGCTGGCCGAGTGGACGAGACCGATCCTGCAGCGCAGCGATGATTACTCGAAGAAGGTCTACGAAGAAGTCGACTTTGATCCTACGTATGTCCTTGTCCTTCCCTACCCCTATTTATTCAGATCTTTTGTCTTCTAAGCGCTAACACAATGATTCAACTCCAGACAACTGGCAAACCGTCCACAAGTCCTGTCTGCTCAGGCCACTGCTGCGGAGGCTCGTGCCAGAGAGCTCCTTCCACCTCGTCTGGCCAACCGTGCTCGGCGCGAGACAGGACATACCACATACACGGTTGTGCCGCGCGCGACGACAGTGCAGGAGAGCAAGTTCGCCCGTCCTTTGGGAGCCAGTGGAGAGGACCGCTTCCGCAAGATGAAGGCGCGGCAGATGAATGCCTCGAAGGCCTCACGCAGATGATCGCAGATAACCACTTCCTGCACAAGTTGAATGGGTCATGCAAGCCTGGCTCTCTCGCCTTTCTTCTCTTGTCTTCCCTCCCTACCCTTCTTTTTCTTTACCCTTTTTTCCATTTTCATCCTTCTGTTTTATTTGGGCGCTTTTGACAAGGAGCCTCTTTCGACATATTTGCTTGGGCCTTGAGGGTTCTGGTTTCATTTCCGGCGTTGTGGGTAGATAATCAGGGTGATCGTGTTCGAGTCGTTTATTCTGGCATGTCAGCAGGAGGGTTTTCTATTATTATTCTTATCCAGCACCTAGGAGTTTGATCGGCTGCAGACCTCTAGTAGTTTAGTTAGGTTGTACAGAGTAGAATGGAATGTGACAGAAAACTGAGTGATGACGACATTGACTCGTCTCCTACAGCGGTGCCACTGTGGCTGGATGCAGCAATTCTGCATTACCTAATCACAAACGCCGCGAAGTAAGCAGCTTCCACCGCTTTGTCAGCGATCCGGCGTTTGCCATCTGACTGGCTCATGTGTGCTGTTTCCATCTGTATTCAGACATTGGCTATTCAGTCTTGCTGCCTAGGTAGGAGGCTGAGCATGCATCTCGTCTCAGACTGGAAAATGCTCTGTACAATCGAAGAAAACGAAGGAAAACAAGAATGACGAGAGAGTTGACAATTGGGGTCGTGAGGGGAAAGTGCGGGACCGCTTTCCATCCCGGGCACATCTCCAACGCGCGTGAGGGGAAGCAGCAGATCCCTGCTGTCTGCACGCGCCGAGGCGAAGCCCGCCCTGTCCTGTCCGGGCAGGCGGTGTGGCCGGCCGGGCGCCCGTCTCGACCGAAATTGCTCGATTCCGGAAGAATATCGCGAGTCGGAGACGGCTCGGTGGTGCAAATCCCGGGCGCAGAGACCGGGCATGACCTCATCGTCGCCTGACTAAGATTTTTTCTCGCCAGATTACTCTTTCTGCTTTGGGATACAGGGACAACATATATATTGCAACGCTGACCTCACCCTCCCGCCACCTCTTTCCCTGCACACAGACAGACATCCACCCCACTGGAAGCAGCTCGATAGAGTTGATCGCCGAGCTCTCTCCGTCTGTTTGGATATCGATCAATTAACCGTCACGCAGCGTCTTTCAGCACAACTACTCCGTATCTGTGATACCCAGCCGCTGTCGGTGATACTTTCAATACGCCAACATGAAGCTCTTGACTAAGGAAGAGGAAGCCGCTCACTACAGGTAAGGCATCCCAACAGCCATTTTATCTTCAATTCAATTCAATTCGAATTTCTACTTCCAGGGGAAATCTGGCTGACTGTCGTTTTCCAGCGCTGTCCTCCGAGGCGGCACTATTGGTGGTGTTCTCGGTCTGGTCGGCGGTTTCGCTGGTGTCATGGCCGCGTCGCGACGATACCACACCATCCGCTCTCTCACGATCCCCATGAAGGCTTTCCTTGTCACATCATCCGGTACCTTCTTCGGTATTATTGCTGCCGACCATGCATCGCGGTCATTTGAGGCGTCCCGAAACCAGAGTCTCCAATATCTCGAGAACCGCGAGGAGCGGCTGCGTCAACAGGAGCTGTCTCGGATGAGCTTCAAGGACCGGGCGCTCGACTTCATGCGCGAGGAGAAATACAAGATCATCGGTGTTACGTGGATTGCGAGTATCATAGGCTCCTTCGTCCTCGTCGGCCGCAACCCGTACCTCACGGGTCAGCAGAAGATTGTGCAGGCCCGTGTGTATGCCCAGGGTCTGACTCTGGCGGTGATGTGCGCCTCGGCCGCGTTTGAGATTCACGACCAGCGCAAGGGCCAAGGTCTCTTGGAAGCCGCGAAAAAGGGCCGCGAGGCGAACAAGCAAGTCGCTCAGCAGCCTCATCACGAGCGCTACGAGGGCGAGGATCTGTGGAAGGACATGGTGGCTGCTGAGGAGCAGAAGCTGAAGCAGCGTCACCAGCCCGTTTACGCGCACGAGAAGCAAGAGCAGCAAAAGGAAGAGCAGAAATCCGAGAAGTCCGAGGAGGAGCAATCCGAGCAGCAGAAGGCCGAACAGCCGAAGACCGAACAGCAGTGATTTATTCCTATCAACACGAAATTTGCGCCTGAAAGCTCATTCTAGATCAGAGCACGACGATTCTCCACAGATCAGCGTCTACCTGTTCATCTCTCCTCTCTTGTCCTCTTCGTCTGCCGCCGCCTTTTTCTTTTTGTATTGGTTGTTTGTTCCGTCATGATGAGCATAGACATTCGGCGTTTGGGCTTGGGGTCTTTGTACCTATGATCTCATTGACTTGGTTTTGTGAGAGCAGCAGGGCTGTTTTATAGGATTTTTTGCCCGACCTGTATTATACTACGACTCATGTCCAAAAGATGAATATAAAGATTGATACATAATAGTGAAGCTGAGTTTCCTTCGAGACTTCATAGTCCTTACCCTTGAATTGTACTGAATTGAACTAGATTTCGGGCTCATTATATAAAGGGCAGTCTAGTCTAGGTTCTAACTATGATATTATAAACTAGGTATAAAATTTATACTGATATCCAACCCATTTAATGGTAAATTTCTTCCAAGATATTTTATAAATTATCCCACTGCTCGTGGAGCTTGGCATCCAGGGTGCTGTAGCCCTTGATGATCTCGAGACCTCGCTGTCGTTCTTGTTCGATCCTCTCCCAGGTCCATTCGTCCGCATTCCAGGACTGCGAATTCTCTTTCTGCTGACGCTCGAGCACTTCCTGCGCGGGGACCTGATCCGCGCTCAGCTTCAGCACCTCATGAACGGGAGACGAGCCGTCGACAGCGGTGGTGATGCCCTGGCCACTTGCGGGTGTGCCAACCGTGTCAGGCGTCGCTCCATCCGGCCGCGGCGGCAGGAATCCGCTGGCCCGAAAGACTCTCTCAGGCCGGACGGTCAAGCGGCCCTTCTTGATCACGTATTTGCTGACAGCGACGGCGGCCAGAGTCGGTCCCTCACCACCCTCGCCGCGCTGCTTCTTCTCCTTCTTCTCCGGTCGCAGGAAGTAGCTGATCATGTACAGCCACTTCTCGTCCCAGGCGATGATCTGCGACCGGATCTCGAACTTTTCGTACGGTTTCAGCTCCCGCTTGAAGGTGCAGTACACGCTCCCCAGGGCGATATACATTGGGAGCTTCTTCTTCTTGTGCTTGCCGTCCGACAGTTCCTCGTCCAGCTCCCGGCTGACGATGCCCATGCCGGGAGAATACAGGCGGGACACCAGTGCGGTCCGCGCCACGTCCAGGTCGGCGAAATACGTGCTGTTGGATTTGTGGATGTTGTAATCCGTCTCCAGGAGCGAGGTGCGCGTGACGACGGTGGCCGCACCGAATATGGGGTGCGCCGGCCTCCCCTTTGCGTCAACGGGGGGTTTCCCATCGAAGATCATGGGCTTCTCTGCCCGGAATCGAAGGTTTCTGAAGAAGTGATAGAAAATACGGAACTGGACGAAGGCGCGTCAGCCAGACAAGCTCGACCCGATCCGAATTTACAAGCAAGAATCCTCAAATCCTAGACAGCAGCAGCATCATCAGGTCGCGAGGGAACAAACATACATGCCATCCCAGCGGCAGCGATTTCCAATTGGCGATCGCGAAGATCAGCAGCACTGCCTTCCACGACGTGAGCGACCATGCGCTCTGGAGCAAGTCTCGCAGGAGATCTAGACTCGATGCAATGACCGATGCGACCGCCATCGTTGGAGGATAGCGAATTTCCTCTTTCCGCCTTCTCCCGCGATTAATCACCAGCAGATTACCCTGTCCTTATCCAGTCGCTTGAATTGGATATAGACGGTAGATAGATAATTGACAGCCTCCTCTAGATCTCGACCACCGTGCTATATATATGATAGCCAATGAATAAATAGTAAGGGTCGAAAAATTGCACGTATAAAAGAAAGACAATGAGAATGGAAATCTAGAGTCTAACAAAGAAAGACTATTACACCATACAGCCGAGGTTCAACCAAAGCTAATTCCAACAGCCCTCCTATTTCAGGTTCACAGATTGGCTAATTGCAATTAGGACTTGTCAGCACAAGCACAAGCACAAGCATAAGCATATAGGTCTTCAGCCTTCAGGACTAGGTTGTTGGGGCATGCAATTCCCAACCCTGCAGACTGAGTATCTGCCCAATCAGAATGCAGAGGGACTGCCAACTGTGGCTTTTCGCTGTCTGATTCGCTGAGCACAGCCACCTGTGCCGTCATCCCGTCCTGTCCAATCAGATCTGCCGATTCTACATGTTCATCTATGATCTTGTCTACGACATCCCCAGCTCCTACCTATTCTCTCCCTGTGAGCCTTGGCGGCAATTACTCAAACAGCAAATCAATCAAGAGCAACAATTGTTGCTGTTGCGCTTTTCCTGAGGCTGTACAAAGCACTATACTGCATTGTGTTTGTCGTTCTTTCATGCACCGAGGCGCAATGCTTCTAGCCCATCCGTCAGAAGTCGATCCCGGCTAGCTGCGTCCGATGGAAGCATGTATTTGGCTTGAATGAAATGCTTTTTTCTTTGAGGACAGAGCTTGCTGGCCTATGGAATGTCTCATTCCCTGTTTGTACTGTACCAACGTTGAATATGACGGCTCTTATTGTCATGGATGATATCAGCCTGTCAGTCAGTTAGTCAGTCAGTCAGTCAGGCGTACTTCTCTCCAATTCGCCTTGAAGTAAGCATTTGACTGCGCTTGCCTCCTTCTAGGCTGCAGTCTTTCAAGTGCCACTTCTCCTCTATTTAAGATCGCTGTCTTCTCGAGGATAGTAGTTCTCTTGACATGGACAGCAGTTCTCATTCTCAGTCCTCTGTTTCTCCTCTCTCCATCTCACCACCTGCATCGAATCATCCATTGGAGAAGAACTCGCCCTCTGAAGAGACTCAGCTGCATCTGCCACTTGGAGGCAATCATTCCTCTCAAGAGAATCACACTGCCATCAATAACTCAACACGTGAGGATAACTCTACTCAGAAACACAACTCTAGTATCAAAGATACCTCTGCTACAATGACGAAAGAAAAGGTTGAGCTCTCGGCCATCATTGGCATTCGCAGCCAAGAGCACATCCGGATCCTAGATGCCATCGATCGCATGCGTGATCTGGGAGTCAACGAGGATCTCTCGATTCCGCAGGTCAGTGCAACCTCTTATAATTTACGAATAGATACTGAATTATCCAGATCGTGGTTGTGGGTGACCAGTCTAGCGGAAAGTCATCCACCCTGCAGGCTATCACGCAACTCCCCCTCGCCGTCGACAGTGAACTCTGTACTCGTTTCGCAACGCAAATTGTCCTTCGTCGCACGCCCGAGTCCTCTGTCAAAGTGTCAATCATTCCTGCCTCGAGTGCAGATGAAGCGACGAAGAAGCATCTCCAGAGTTTCTCACGTTCTTTTACGGAAGATGAATTTGACGGTCATGCTTTTACGAAAGTCGTTAATGAGGTCGGTAGAATAGTTCCTTGGGGTATAACAGAACGCTGACATGACCTAGGCCGCTGAGCACATGGGGCTGCCTGGTCCGGGAGTTGAAAAGAGCGAGGACTTTGAGAAAAGGTTCTCTGGAGACGTGCTCAAGATTGAGCTCTCTGGCCCGGAGCAGCTCCATCTGAGTGTTGTTGACGTTCCTGGACTCTTTCACAGTGAGTTTCTTCCATTCCCGTGGCAGAAAGGTCACTAAGTTATACACTAGATCCTACCAAGTATCAGACAAAGGAAGATCTGGAGATTGTCCGAGAACTGATTTCGAACTACATGGAGAACCCAAGGAGCATCATTCTGTAAGTTTTGGAAACTTTGGTGACCATGCATGCCTTTCTGACAGAATACAGCGCCGTTATGGATTCCCGAGTCAACATCTCCAATCAAGAGATCTTTCGCCTTGCACGAGGCTTCGACAAAGACGGCTTTCGTACCGTTGGGGTGATCACCAAATGCGATGCTCTGCAGCCTGGCGACGAGAAAGAGGTAAATCGCAATTGACCACATATTTGGCTTCGATCGACACTGACTGGAATCAGGTTCTTCACGTCGCGCAAAATTCGGTTGAACGCCTCAAGCATGGGTAGTTTCTGATTAAGAATCGGTCGACTCAGGATATTCTGGACGGAGTCACTTTGAAGCAACGCAACATCCAGGAAAAGAAGTTCTTCCAATCCCAACCGTGGAACATGATTCCCAAGGAGAGAGTCGGAATCGACTCTTTGAAAACATTCCTTGGACAGCTGCTTCTGGATCACATCCGCAAAGAATTTCCCCAGCTAGTCAGCGAGATCGAAACTCTGGCCGCCAAAACCGAAAAGGAGCTCGAGGGCTATGGGCCATCGCGTCAGTCTTCCACCGAACAGCGCCGGTACTTGACGAAAATGGCGATCGACTATCAAAAGCAAGTCAGCGACTCTCTCAATGGGCTCTATGACGCGAACTTGGCATCCGGCCATCCATCCAAACTCAGATTGTATATACGCAACCTGAACGAATCCTTTGCCAAGAAATTTATGTCTCATGGTCACAAGAGAATTTTTAAGGCCGTTGACGGTAACTTTGACTCTGAATTCAAGCGGAAGAGCAAGGATCCCGAGGATGATATCTACGAGTGGATCCGAACCGTCTACCGCGAGTCAAAGGGAGTAGAACTGCCTGGGACGGTCAACCCCATGGTGGTGGAATACGTTTTCCGCGAGCAATCTACCCCTTGGAAACCCTTGACGGAAGAATATCTCTCCAAAGTTAAAGAAGTCGTTGCAAAGTACCTGGGATATATCTTTCCAAACGTGATCGGAGATCCAGACGTCTGTTCCAAGCTCACGACTTTCCTTCGTCCTCGGATTGTCGATGGGTTCGCGAGAGCAGAAGAGGAACTGCAGAGAATCCTGCAGGATGAACGTGAGGGAATCCTGCAGACGGTGAATCACTACTTGGCCGAGAACATCGGCAAAATCCGTCTGGAAAGGATCCAAGCTCGCCTCAAAAATGTTGGTTTCAACTCTGACGGTCAATATCACTTCGTTTCTCTCTCGATGCTTACCGAGACCATCCATCTCAGCAACGAGGATCAAGCCGTATACGACATCCATGACATCCTCAAGTCGTATTACAAGGTCGCCGTGAAGCGTTTCCTCGACAACGTCGTCATCCAGGTCGTGGAGCGACACATTCTGGGGAAAGAAGGTCCTCTCAAGCTCTTTTCTGCCAAGCTTGTGGCCGACCTGTCGGACGACGACGTCGCCTTCATCGCTGCCGAGAGCTACAGCACCTCCGCGGCTCGAGCGGAGCTGAAGTCCAAGCTGCAAAGACTTCGCCAGGCACTTGAAGTGGCTGGTAGCATTCCACGGTAGCTGAGACCATTCTTAGAGTACTGTCTAAAGCTGCATGAAGTTGACGGCAGTCGTTTATTTATCGGAAGATAGAAACCCTTTCACCTCATCTAGCTATGCTGTCTGTACTCGATTAGTTTTTTTTTCTACCATCCTTACTGACTGGCTTGTGAATCTTCCTGTTAAGCTTAGAGCAGTTTGGCCTTCATCACATTTCTTTTGTTTCTTTCTTGGTTTATTTAGCGCTTAACTTGAATAGGTGAATATGACTGCCATTATTTATCTTTCTTTCCCAGACCAAGTAAAGTCATCGTAGCAAACGTATTTACTACCTTGGGATATCTGAGACAAAGACACGCAAATACACTCAATGACTCAATACGGAGAGTTATCCATATACTAGTGAGGAAATCGATCGCATTCTATCTATTCAGATACTCAGTACATACGGAGTACATTCGTTTAGAAAATAGCCATGCAATTCGGCGGACTCGCCACGCCCTTTGCACAGTTGAGCGGGCTGCTCGACACGAAAAACGTCCAGCGCTTGTGTTTCTTACACAACTCGGCCAGTCCTTCCAGGTCGAACATCTCGCCGATGGGAAGACCCCAGCCGGCCAGCAAGTGGTGGTGCAGATCCCATTCCTTCTGCAGGGGCGGGAACACCTCGAAACTGACCGTATCCGAGGCGACGGCGGCAAAGTGGTTGTCCCAGAAGAACTTGACGACGCGCTCGCTCTGCTCGATGCCGGCGTGCTTGGGGACCTTCTGCGCGCTGTAGGCCTGCTTCTCGGCGGGCGTCATCTTGTCCCAGGTCTTGGTGAGGCCGACGCGGAGGAAGAAGATGTCGCCTCGGCGGAACTCGATACCGCACTCCCTGGCGATCTCGAGCACGTCATCCAGCGACACAACATGCTGGGTGAGCGCGTTCACCTCGATGCCCCTCTTCTCCGCCCATGAGAGATAGTCGATGAGCACGCCGCGGCCGGCAATGCCCTTCTTCGCCCAGAACCCCATGCCGATGCGGGTCGAGTTCGGGTCCAGGATCTCCTCGGCCGTGGTGCCGCCGTACCAGACTTTGGTTTTGCCGTCCGGCCCGGGGGCGCTGTGGTGCCGGAGACCATCCCACTGCGAGGATTGCTGCGGGTTGAAGTGGAATTCGTCGTCGAAGGCATTGTCCGGGTCGACCCATTTGATGCGATGCTCGAAGGGTTTGCGGCCGAATCCTAAACCAACAGTCAGCAATCGCCTCTCCGGTACGGAGTATATTCATATAGAAATGCAAGGTCCTGTATGTGCATACCCGGCGGATCGAGCTTCTCCAAATCCCAATTCAAGCACACTCGCTCCCCGGTCTGGATCTCGGAACGCGCGGCGGCAGCGACGACGTCCGGCGTCAGCAGGCGCAGCATGCCCAGGCCTTCTTCTTCAGAGCCGGCAGGGGCAGGCCAGAATCGTCGCCTGTCAGGGAGATCTTCATATTTCTCTGGGAGGTCTGGGATGCCGGACATGGCAGATAGATAGATAAAGGCGGGGTATGCAGAACTAGAATTATATATATGCTATTCAAACAGGGTCAGGGTCAATTGCGCAGAACGCCCAGCGAGAAGAAAGGTCTCGAGCAGAAAAGAAAGAGCAGCCAGTGCAAATTGATTTGATTGTGGACATGGTGGCATCAAGTAAGTAAATAACTAGCTATATAGTAAACTAAGCGGCCTTCTCACCGTGACGGAAGACTGTCGAAAATGGTGGGGTAAGTAGGACTTGCTCCGGTCAGCGTGTCGGAGTTGGTCCGAGGGGTACTGTACAATCCTGACAGTCAAGTCAACAGACCATGATTATCATTACGTATCGTGTCGTGATAAAGACTGTAATATATATATACAGGACATAGACATAAATAGAAAGAAAGAGAAAAAGAAGAAAAAAAAAGATACAGGACATGCCCATCAAATCAAGCAAGTACATACATGCCTTCCCCAAACCGTGTGATACATACATATACATGGCATACAGAACAGAACAGGAAAAAAAGGACGATAGCCACCCACGAAGAAAATAAAAAAAACGTAATTTTTAGAAGCAGCCTTACTATGGCTTGTTGACCAACTGCCGCACACTCGACGTCTCGTCTCGAGTGACCGACTCCTGCGACAGCACCGTCGTCACCTTGATACCTCCCATCTTGCCGCCATCCTGGCTGAGATTCTCCTGGCTGCTAGCGCTGGAGTCATGACCGGAACTACTCCCACCACCATGACGATGATGACGATGCATGTCATACATAGCCAGGGAATCGTCAGCACCGACGACGGTCGCGTTGACGGTCGATAGATTATTATTTATGGCGCGACTGCCCTTGCTGAGTCCTCCTCCCGTGCGGTTGTTGTTGTTGCGCGAGTAGCTGTAGCTGTGGCTGTAGTGGCCTGCTGAGGAGAGGATCTTGGGGAAGAGTTTCGATATGAGGGGCTTGATGGTTGGTAGCGAGGCGCAGATTATGGCGACGTTGCATTCGATGGCGGACCAGGTTGCGGCGCCGACGTTGTCGTCTGCAGGCAGTGCTGCTGGTCAGTATTGAAGCGGTTAATTATGATTATGGGAGGAGAATGACGTACAGGTTGGATCGCTGGATTTTGAAATCACGAGTAGGCTTTTTAGGCGGATGATGGTTGTGACCGTTACGCTGGAGAGGAGAGCAGGTTAGATATCGCCATCGCCATAGAATAGCACGACAAGACAAGGCTGTATGTATATACTTACAATCCACCAAGCGCAAAAACACCCATAAGAGCAACTTTCTGCTTCGTAGGCAGCTGCAAAGACTTGAGGACAGGCATCGGCAAAGTGAGAATGATGATATCGCTGAGGATATGCATGGCGGAATTCGAGAACCAGAGCCCTTCTTTATTGAGACAGTAACCGGGGATGCTGTCGTCCCAGAACTTGGCCACGGGAATGCAGTTCAGCCACGCGCTGACAAACGTCCAGGTCCCGTAGACGACGATCACGCCCAGCATGATGTTGCATGCGAGCAGCATCTTCTGGATCTTGAAGACACGGCGGTACTGCAGTAGGATGGACGCTTTGGAGCTGAAGAGCGTCATTTGGTAGATTGGGACACTGGCCCAGAGGGCCTGAAATAAATCTCGAACATTAGCCTTCATCTTCATGCTTGGCTATCTGTGTAGTAGATCGAACTCACAATCAATTGCTTGGTGACAATGTCCGCTGGAAGGTCATTCATATGCTGACCCATTCCGAATTTCACCTCTATATAGTAATTACAACTTAGTTCAGCCAGTCCAACATTTCCTTAATGTGTGTGCAGAACTGTACTAACCATAGTAAAACAGGACAAAAAATCCCCAGGTAAAGAGCTGTATAACACCATGCGACAACGTTTCAGCATTTGTTGCCTCTTGCCGTGTGATATTTATTCTTGCCTACCAGTGCATTTAGAATGGCCAGATCATCGGCTCCAAATTGTCGGACCATCCACAGTCTTGTGTAGAATCGGATCAGGACGATCACCGTGGCGAGCGTTGTGAAGACGATGCTGACGTCGAGGGCGTAAATGCCCCGTGGGTTCACGATATCGTCGTCCATGTCGGTTGTCAGGTTGGTTTTGCTGTGCATGTGCATGTGCATCCCAGGTATTTGGTCTCGCAAGGTCTTGAGCTTCAAAGAACCAGCAGGGCAGGGAGTGTTGACGGGATGAGGCGTCTACTTGATGGCAGCAAACTACTATTCATCCCATTCTTCAAGAAGTATTCATTCAATTCATCCCAACTGTCGCAAGTGTCGATATCTCTCCAGAGAGACTTCAAAAAATAATACGGAGGGGAACTACGCACTTTATTATTAATGACGATGACAGAAGTGGCTTGCATAAATAAGAAGACCCGCTAATACCTAAGCACGACATGGCCAGGAGTCTGATCCCGGAAAGTTTCATCTAAGTAAGCCCTGAAAGTTGCAAATCTCCTGCCTCTCACTCCACAGTCTGTTCTTTTAGCTCAGACGATCTATCTCACTAAGATGGTGGCGCAGGCACAACATCACAGAACATGCGTCAGGATCGTTCGAACCCGAACCCTCCACGGCCCGGTGGCATGGACTCTGGTGGAGGTATCAATTATTTCGGAAGTTTAGGAAGATGGGGCAGCGCGGAAGCGTTACAACTTACGCATGCCGTTAGCTGGAGAATGCTGCATGGATGGAGCATGTTCTGTTTCTGTCGCAAACTCTATTGTTACTCGTGCGCCAGGTTCGGGAGATGGACTTGCTGAGCTTTGCTGTTCAGTAGAGTAGTAAAGTAGTGAGTCTTGATTATTGATGCAGAAGGATTTCTTTGTGCCGTCAATAGTGCGAACATGCCTTTTCGTATACGGTTATATACCTCGAGGGAAGCACGTCTATCCACGCCACGCAGGGCTAGATGGCTTGCTGCCCCACGATCTGGCTGGATACTGGCAGCAGCAAGAAATATTCATGCCGTGCAAGCGATCCCTGCGCTTGATCGGGTGGCTCAGGAAAGCTGATCGGGTGGATGGGTCAGGGCCTACGTCCAAGCTCACTAGCAGGAACCCCTGTTCGTCGTATATAAACGAGACGATATACTCCGTATCGTCCTCTTGAACTATTCTCCAGGGTAGCAAGTTAGCAACCCCTAAATGGTTTCTTGCTTCCTGCCTCTTGCGTATACGATCGACGCCTGCCTCATCTTATCGGGATTTTTAGGATGGCCAGATGCAGATTGGCTGATCCTTGACCACGTCCATGTCCCTGGAGACAGGCTCGAGAGATCCCTTCCCTGTCGAGTCTAGGACACTGCGCATCCATCTGTCTGGAGAGAATCCGGACGTTGCTGTCGCGGGCAACCACTATGCCTAGAAAGGGAATTTGTCGCGGTGGCCCACCGTGGAGAAGGTCCGAATCGTTCGTTTCCAGCTCATGCGAAATAATACTTGCGAATGAGATGTTTGCCTTTGACAGTGACGGTAACCCCCCCTTTTCGTCGTCTCCAGTCCCCAGCCGAGAGTCCTCCCCGAGAGGCCTCTGTTCCCACCTGTCAGCCGTATCTGACGTTTCCTGACAGCCTCTGCCAAACTGCAACCTAGCATCGTTTAAAGTTAGGTGGGCCTTGTCATGTCGTTACTCCTATGAGTACGGTTCGGATGTTCCGATCGGCCTGAAGCCACAATCTGTCGCGTACCGAGTACCCGTACACAGTACTCCGTACAGCGTTCATGGAAATATCCTGTGGAGCAGTATGAACTGTCTGTAAGCACTTGCAGATTGCCCCGTCCCAGTTTCTTCGTGAATCGTGCCTGATTCTGCCGATCCTGCTGCGCTGCTTGCCACTAAAACGTGCCAATTTAGCCTAATCCGCTCTCACGAGCTGCAGAAGGGTTCCAGGACTCCACCGTTCTGTCACCAGCACCGAGTCCACGGACAAGTCCCGCGATCCTCTGTCACTTGGCCTGACGTATCGGCTGCCAATCGCCCAATCGAGTACCTAGATCGAATCCATCTGTCAGAGCGCAGCGCACAATCCTCCGTTCCTGCAGGCTGCGTCGGCAGAGGACGGCTTGACCGTGCCGGAGTCCTAGCTAATATTAACAGCTAGCATGGCGCTTGTCGCAAGCAGGAAGCTGCAAATCTGAGTCTATCGCCAATAATATAAGCCAGGCGGATCATCCGGTTGAGGGAAACTCTTGGCTTCTTATCAGAGAATGCACGTGTGGCCGTACCCGTAAAGGCTACGCATCACGTTCCGTGCATTGATCCAGGCCAAGAACTGCCTCTGGCTTGGATTACCAAGCAGGTTGCAGCATGCTGACAGAGTTCAGCTTAGTGTGGGAAATTTTTGAGGTGGCAGTTGTGGGGACGGACCAGTTTCCAGATGAGTATGAGGACGAGTACACCTGTACAGTGCCTACCCCTGGCATAACTTATAAGCGACAGTTGACAGAGACCGTTAGCTGCCAGTCCGTCTGACTGGACAGGACCCCGGTTCAACCGTCCCGAACCTTGTTCCACCTCCGGCTCAAAATGTGGTCTTGGGCCTGCATTAAGGTGCTGCCTTCTTATATCCTGGCAGGCCGGCACCTCGCTAAGTTTGTGCTAATTCTCGGCAGGAGCAATACGGTAGGATATGTGTCGGAAATAGTCTCTTCTCTTTTTTCCCATTCTGTCTCTGTCTGCCGAGTGTTGTGTTAACCGCGGTCTAGATTTGGCGCTGTCTTAGTAAGAACAAGAACAGCATTGTCCGGACCTACTATACTCCGTACTAGACTGCTGACTCTGAAAAGAAGACTTCCATCTTGAAACCTCTATGGATACCCTCCAATGTGTATACGGCATATTCCTAAGCATCAACTGCAAGTCTACAATAATACAACCTGGGATAACGACGTTCTCAAGGAAATATCCTTGACAAAACTTATCCAGTTCTTTGTACGACAATCCAGCAATTCTGCCTGAATTCAGGGTCAACGACAAGATAGTACGGAGTATTACTACGGCTACAACTGAGACTCGATCCAAGCTACCAGCCTATTCATGGTTCATTCGCTACTACGTAGCTTGCCGATCTTCAAGTTCACGATCGCGTACGGATGTTCTCCGTACTCCCCGTGTGGACTATGGAGAATTGGAGAGTGTCCCAGATCCGACTACTGAATGGCTACTGGCGAGCACTGATCTGGTCTAGCTTACCATAATACGTGGTGTTAATATCGACTATCGATCTTAGCAGCCAGCGTAATCCATGTGGCTTGAAGGTGAAGGGATGGTGCAGTCTGACTAGTTTATTCATGATTCTTACCGAAAGCTTGGACCTTGCTTAAGTTGCTTAAGTTGCTTAAGCTTGGTGAAGATTAATTAATTAATAGTCGATCCTGCGACCTCGTATTCGGTTACTCCGTACCAGATTTTGCCTGTGTAGATGACTATCATATCATGTATTGAGAATAGCCAGCAGACTATCGAAGTTTTTCGTCTAACACAATTCATAATTTATGGACCATTCCTCTGTAAAGTATTGATGAACATTGAGTCTGCATCGACTGTATCAACGATAGGAGACTCTGGGGAAAAAAGAATCGGCAGGCTTTCACCCGCGATCTTGACTAATCAGCCATCAGCAGCTAACCCGCACCCCCACCTGGTTCTTCAACTTTCGTCTGTTCGCTCGTATTAATCCGTCAATCAAAGCATAGTCAATGCCAATCCATCCATCATGAGCAATGGGCACGACCGATCATGGCTCAGGGGCCACGACGGCAGCGCGCTCCGGGCGAAGAGTAGCCCACTCGCGGGGCGGCTGTCTCACGTGCAAGCGGCGCCGACTGCGCTGTCCTGGTAAGCAGGCATTCTTCTAGATTACTATACTATGTACTGTAGTACGTAGCTGATTATTTGTTGCTACAGAAAACAAACCCGTGCTGGAACGACAACAAGCCCTGCAGCTATGCCTTCCAGCTGCAGTGGGAAGACGAGAGCCGCAAGCGCGGCATCAAGCATGGCCGCAGTAGTAGTAGTTCACGAGCAGACACGACATCTACATGGGTTGGCCTGCCCATCGCAAGCAGAGTGCGGCATTTCCTCAATACCAGCGTGTGGGATATTGAGGGTGAACTCCCTACCACGACATCGCTGTCATCGCTGTCATCTTCGTTGTCGTCATCATATCGAGTCTGGTCGCAGAGACCGACCCTGTCGTCATGGCCCAGAGCCATCCCTACTCTGTCGTTAGATGACCGTCAGGATGCGTATCTGTTTGACTACTACTGGCAATGCGTCTGTAAGAACATGACGCTGGTCGACGGCTCCTTCAACACCTTCCGCCAGCTTATTCTTCCCCTCGCCATGAGCAGCGAGTCCGTCATGCACATGGTGCTCGCCCTGGGAGCGCTCTCTCTCCACGCTGCCTCTGTCGCTGCGGGCCGCAACGACCACCGCCTGTACACCGTCGCGTTGCGGCACAAGCATCGGTCAATGCAGCTGCTGCGGCGACATATCGCGCAGGCAGAGACGGCGGCCAACGACCAGAATCTGATTGTCATATTGATGCTGTGTGTGTTTGAGGTGTGTATCCTCGCCATACCTCGATATTGGGCCAGATAACTGAAGAAAACTATGTAGATATCAGACAACTGCCAACTCTCCTGGTCGACGCATTTGTGCGCCGCTCTCGACCTGATGCGGTTGGCGTCCACACAGCATGCCGGCACATCCATGATCACACCTGAAGTGTCCAGCTTCGTGTCAAGATTCTTCCTCGTCAAGGATGCCCTGGGCCGGACAGCGTGCGGCAAGAGGGCCAAGATTAAACAGTTACCAACGGTCAATTCTGCAGAGGTATGCCTACAGTTTAAGTCTTGTTTAGGGAAACAACTAACTGAGAATATCGGCTTCTGCAGATTGACCCCGCGATTGGCTGCTCATACGAACTGATCGACATCATCTCGGCCATCACCGATCTTTCGCGGGAAATGGTAGGAACTGACACGTTCAATAGAGATGTGACGCCGACACTAATTATATGTCCAGACCCAAGATGCCACCTCGACAACATCCGCCTCCTGGCTCGAGAAGACGGCTCAAATCCAGCGCCAACTCGAGTCGTTGACGCAGTATCTCCCATCATCTATCTCATCATCATCATCATCATCATCATCATCATCATCATCATATTCTTCTTCTTCTTCACCTTCTTCCAACAAAGACCACCTCTCCGACACCGACATCCTCCACCACACCTCCAACCTGATCCACACGTGCGCAAAACTATACTTCCTCGCGACCCTCCGCTCCATCGACCCCTACGATCCGCAAGCACGACAACTCGTGCGGGACGCCATCGAGTGGGCGCGTCCCCTGTCACCGCGACATCTCCGCTCGGCTCATCTCTGGCCTTTATTCGTGGCCGCGGTGTACGCGACACACGACGAAGAGCGGGTGTTTTTCCTCGACCAGTTCGATCTCCTTCTCGTGTCGGAGGGCCATCAGTCTGGCGCCCTCGTAGCGGCAGGGTCGGTGGGGAGAGTGAGGGAGATTGTTGAGACGGTGTGGAAGAGGAGGGACCTGCGAAGCAGTAGTAATCATAACCATAACCATAACCCTAGCAGCAGCAGCAGCAGCAGCAGCAGCAGCAGCAGTGGTAGTACACCTAATATCAGATATTACATCCCGCCGAACACGGACGAAAAGGAAAACACCTGCACTGTGACTCCCACATCCACATCCCCTCGCCCATCCATTATTCACAATGACTGGGCGCGCTATGTCCAGCCGATGAGCGAGGGGCTTTGTTTGGGATGATCATCGATCAATCCATCGATCGATTGATCGATCGATCGATAGATAGATATAGGTCATATTAGGTATAATATAATGTGAACAACGATAATGGAAATTAATACCCTCTATTAAGACCAAGCAAGCAAGCAAATTTTATCTATCTTACTAGATGAAATATAACAGTATGAATAACATATTATTATTACTTTCTCTGTTCAAACTCCCGAGTTATAGTTTATTAGTTATTCTCTCACACATACATACTGACATACTGTGACACACACACACACACACACAGTGATATTCAGTTGGTCAATCACAAAACAAAAGAAATATATTCATGGTCCTTGGAATTCAAAATCACACACACACACAAACAAACAAAAAAAAGAAATATTATTAGAGAGAAAGGTGCAGTCGACACATATATCCTTCAGTCAGTCAAGGTCGATATCTATCCATCGACATGACTGCCCCTGTGTACAGTACAGCCGTTGTTATGTGTGTACGATTACTACAGATCATCATCCTCCTCTTCTATTTTCTTCGTTGTGGCTGTCGTCGTCGTCTTCCCACTACTCGACAGCGACGACATTTCGTATTCTTCCGCATACGCTGCGCGACTGCCTCCTCCTGTCGTCGACGCCGACGCCGACGCAGACATGGCGATCGCTTGTCTGCCAGTGTCGGACGCTTCGAGGAACTCGCGCAGTCGGCGCTTGCCTTCCTCTACCGCCTGGCGCGATGCTGCGTCTAGCATCTTCATGATCGGCCCCCACAGGTTGAGCTGGTAGATCACGTACGCGCAGACGGCGCACACAAACAGGAGGAAGAAGTAGGCTGGGTTGCGGAGGACTGCGAACCGTCAGTACAGTGTTAAACTCAGTTCAGATGATGGTGACCTACCAGCCCAGATCTCGTTCCAGCCCAGTGCCAGCAGCAACCCGTAGAAATACAACGGCACCTGCGTCATCCCTCCAATCGCGCTGCGCTTCGCCTCCACGTACACCCCGTCGGCCGCCTTCTTGAACCGCACCGTCAGATCCTGCCGCTTCGCGTCGCTCAGCAGCGTCGTCTCCTCCTCCAAGCTCTTCCCCTCGTCCTCGTCCACGCCCCCGATCGGAACCAGGTCCTCTTCATCCGCCGGAGTCGCGGAACTCGGCGTGTGGCCAACCCACCGGTCGAGCGGTGGAGGAGCATTCGTCTCCGCGAGGCGGAATCGAGACAAAAGCGGAATGAGGGCGAGAGTCGACTCTCGAGCGCGCGTGTAGACCCCTTCAATGTCGTCCGTCGGCCGCCAGATCCGCGGCACACCAGCCTCGTCGTAGCGGAATTTGTCCTCAAAGTTCTCGCGCAGTTTCAGCAGCAGGTTGCCCTCCATCATCTCCTCTTCGATCTTGGCTCGAAGCACCCCCACGACTTCCTCCGGAGCCGCCACAGACCGACGTCCACCTCGTCCACGCTGGCGTCAAAGCTGCTCGCGCGGTCCGTGAACCTCCGCTCTGCCTCAAGAACCGTCTCGACGAAGATGTTCCAGATCCGGTCCCAGATCCGTGCCTCCGCAGGCTTCTTCCCCGTCTCTGGCGCTCCCGAGCCTCCTCGACCCGAGCCAAGCGCGTTGAATTCCAATCCCACCGAGTCCGCCAGACGCGACCGAACCCACCGTTCGACTCTCGTGGCCAGCCGCCGCATCTCGTCCTTCCGGAGCTGCGCGCTGACCTCGCCCAAGTCTTTCTGATACAGAGCCAGCTCCTGCTGGTAGCTGCTCCAAGGGGCTCCCTCCACCAGTACAGCGCGGGCTTCCTCCTCGAACTTTTCGATCGCGGTCTTGGTTTCCTGGCTGACAATCTCCGCAAAATCATAGCCGGTACCCCTCTTCTGGCCGGCCTTGACAGCCCCCGAAACTGCTTCGCTGAACTCTTTGACGCCCAGCTTGTGCGCCGCGCTCAACTGGCCTTGGAAGAGGGCCTTCAGTCGCGTGTCGATCTTGTTTTCGAGCTCAGCCCGCTTCCGCTGGTAGACGCCCTTGTGGTACCGGCTGGCTTCCGTCTCGAAATTCTTGATTGTCTTCATGCGCGCAGACCGCATCGCGGGACCCAGCCCGCCCAGCACCTCCGGCTCTCCGGAACGAGCGCTTTCTGCCTGCTTCTCCTCGAATGGCGTGATCGCCTCGTCGAATCCCACGAGCACCTCTCGGAGTATCTCATCGCAGCGGAACTGCGCGAGCAATTCCTGCTGGGTCGGCAGGTCGAGATCCTTGTTGTTGACGATCTGATCCCAAATGCCCTCTGCGTAATGCGCGAAACCGTCGGCCGGTATCCGTCGGTGGTATTCCGGCAGAAACACGCCGTTTTCGGGGGAGTCACCCTTCTTTCCCTCGCGGAACCGCGTCCCCAACTTCTTCACTTCTGCAGCAAATTGCTCCGGCTGGTAGCCTTTGTGAGGAAGTCCATAAAATGCAAAGTCAAAGTAGTCGTGAATTGTAGAACGCTCCAGGCCAGGAGGCTTCGATAGCGAGGCCCAGATGCGCGACAGGTCTTCGAGAAGAGTGTTTTTAAGGTTTTCGAGCGGCGTGACGCCGATGAAGTCACGAATGACGAAGAAAAGGAGGGAGCGATGTGTGGTGCTGCTGATCTATCAGTATATCGATCCCATCCCACACGGGTGACGAAAGTACGCACCTCTTGTCCTTCAGGAACAGCTGCAGATTGACCTCGAACACGGTCTTCAGCAAGCCCATGTTGGCCCCCTGGTACAGACCGACCTGGTGCTCCCAAATGTTGACAATCAAGACCTCGCTCGTCGCCAGCGCAAAGAGGGCGCTCTTGCGCTCAAAGTCCTGGTCCTCGCCCCGTTCGCGACCGTCGGTGCCCTCGACGTCCATGACGAGGATGTTGTCGGCCATCCGCGCGCTCGCATCGGCCGTGCCCTGGCTCTCCAGCTTGTTCTTGGACAGCCAGATGCCCTTGGTGGTCTGGCGCCTCTCGAGGTCAGACATGACGCTGAACTTGGTGCCGAACAGGTGGTTGAGCAGGGTCGACTTGCCGGTCGACTGGGAGCCGAAGACGGAGATGAGATGGTAGTTGAAGCCGGCATTGGTGACGCCTTCGAGGGACAGGTACTTGGCCAGGTTGGGACTGCAGCAGTTGCCCTAATGTCAGCATTGGAGGTTTTTGGACAGACAGACGACAGAAGAAGAAAACTGACTTGAACTGTTTGTCCTCGTCGATGACCTGCACGCCATGCTCGTAGGCCGCCGGGTCGTTGTGATCGCCGATGGAAGCGAAATGGCCATTGGTGCCCACGGAGGGAGCAGTGGTGTCACTGCTCACCGCATGGGGCCCGTCAGCCATGGCGAAGGGATCTCTATCAAGAAATAAGCCGCAAGAGGGCGCCAGGCACGGAGTAGGTCAAATAGAGAGATCTAGGGAGCGGAGACCGTGGCGAGATGGAGCTTGGGATGTCCGTTGGTCGGCGTCATACAAAGGAGCGAAAGGAACGAACAGAAAAAAAATAAAAAACAAAACGCTAGAGTAAGGCAGTCATCCACGAACCCGCCGTAGCTGCACGCAGACTGGAATCAGCAAGCTAAGGAGGGTTGGATTATTACACAGCCTGGAGCTGGAGAGCTGCCGAGGAATGGATGGATGCGTGGAAGTCGGCCAGTCGAGCCAGCCAAGCTCCACACTCTGGAGTTCCGTCATCCTCGCTTGCGGCCCGCCAGCACCAGCCCGGCTTGTACCTCGATGTATCCACACGTTCCATCCGCTGCGATTCTGGGCAGAGGATACTTGGAGATACCTAGTGGTACGGAGTACAGCATGGCGATCTGCAGCTGCCAGATCCCGTGAGACAGCAGTCAGGACGCAACCTGCACATGACCTGCATACATAGCCTTACACTTGACAACTAATAGAGAAAAGAAAGTCATGGGATAAGGTCAACCAAAAATTACTGTCAACAGAAGAATGGAGAGAATGACCACCTAACTCACTGTCCTGAATCAAGGCTGGTCTGAATATTTCACAGGAAGCACTCAGTTATTCAAAAGAACTGTATCGCGGAGTATATCCATCTATTGCAGAGAAGAGATAGCATCATAATCCAGATTCCAGTCAAGTCGCATTCCAGAAACACACTGCCAAAATCAGAACCCAAACTCCGTAGATGGGAGCCTTTATATAGCACAACGTTGCAGAAAACCCCGTACACATATACGCCAATCTTTCATCGCTGTACACCATAGGAAAACAGATAGGTAATGGAATAAATAATGTACAGAACAGTAAAAAAGAGACAGAAGGAAGGAAGGAAAAGAAAGAAGATGACTATCGTCATCTTCTATCTTCCTCTTCAACCAACACGACCGCATCACTGCGTGATATTATTCTCCTCCGTCCAATTCAAATTCCACCCCTGGTCCAGGTCGAGATCCAGATTCAGATTCGGCCACAGCCCAATATTCTGGTCATTCAAAAACCCCTGGAACACGTTCTGGTCCAGCCCCGCATTGGGGAACGCCACCATGTTCTCCAGTTGGATCCGCGACTCGTCCGTGAACGGAGGCGTCCAGCAGGCCTGCTCGGAGCCCATCGCGCTGCCCGGTTCGCGACTCGTAGTAAAGTCCCCTGGATTCGATTGCGGCGGGGTGTAGAGCTGACATGGACTGGGCTGGCCGGAAGACCGGGACGGGGCGCGGCATGGGCCTGGGGGGGGATGCTTACCGCTGTTGCGGCTCATGAGACTGGCCAATTTCTTCCCCGGTGACACGGTGATGACCCCAAAGTACGGCACGGTGATCTTGCACGACATGTCGTTTGGTGTCGACGATAGGAGATTGGGATCGCACTTGGTGATCGCGTCCAGGATGTTGAGCGACTGCGCCGCAACGGTACCACAGGTCTCCTGCGCCGCTTTGCGAAGAACCTCGGTCGTCTCCATCACAAGCGCCCAGTCCTTGTCGTCTTGTGCCTGGCTGTGGTCGGGCGCGTCTTCCGAGTATCCGAGCAGATGGATGATCAGGAGCATGGCCACGGTGAAGGCTTGAAAGTCGATGACTCGGCAGATGTAGGGATTGATCCCGGACCACGACCGAAGACTATTGTACGCAACGAGAGTGCGCCGGGACGATTCAATCGCCGCGTCATGACTGTACCGATACCGCCGGTCCCCGTTGGATTTCAGCATAAACGGCAGATGCAGCAGCGCGCGGAGGAAATGGTGGAAGAAGTGGATCATCAGGCGGTCGTTATTCTCCCCGGGCGTGAGTTGATTGTCGGGGCGCGGCTCCCAGAAATGGCTCGGCATTGCCCGTGCATGGGTCTCCAGATCCTGTTCCATCTTCAACGTCGCGGCGAGGGACATGTTCGACGGATCTTCCTGGTTGCGGTCAATCATCTGGCCCATAACCAGGGCCAGTCGCAGCGCGTAGTTCTCCAACGACGGCTTTTCCTTCTGCAACCGCATTTCGACCTGCGGTCTGAATGCGGAGTCCGAGACCGCATAGGGCAGCCCGAGAATGAGGCTAAGGAAGCGATCGTTTAAGACAATAGAAGTCCAGATTCGGATGCGGCGATTGAAAAGAGTATCAGTGGGATGGGGCGGTTTGGCCGTCGATAGACGCAGCCCCGTGAGTTGTGCAAATTCAATCGCCCGACGGTTCATGAGCCATGCCTTCCGTGGCCGTCCCATATTCAGGTACCACTTGGAGAGCAGCATCATAGACTCGATGCCAGGAAGGGTGCTGGCCAAGTCGTCATCATAGATGATCAGTCGGTCGATCTCAGAGATGACACGATCGCTGTATTCTTTGGGATCGAACGGGACTTGGAGGGATGTGTAATCAAAGTCCGATGGAAGCTGTTCAAGACTCATCAAAACACACAGGAGAAATTTGGCAACTTCCCCAGGAGAAGTAGGCAATTCGCACATTGCGTTGTCGTCCATGAGACACTGTCCACACCCGTCGCAAAGTTCTGGGAACATGTAATGCCAGACGGCCCACCACTTTGCAACCGCGCGACGGATCTTGAGGATATCAGCCTTAGGTGGCACGAGGGACACGAGCTGAGCCCGCGCAGCTATCGCCTTGGGCGAGAGGTCTTTAGTTGCAGCTGCGTCATGCGATCTATTTGGTGCGCCTTCAGTGCAGGTGACGACCTGATTGTTGAAGAGCTGCAAGACTGGAGCATTTTCAACATGCTCGTCTGAAGACGGCAGGGCTGTCTCAGATGGTTTGGGAATGGTGTTGGACGAAGGAATCTTGGGTGCATTATCGACTGCCATTGTCAGTATACTCAGATGAAGATCCTGCATGTCGATGGAGCAGCCGAACGTACATTTCTCAGCCTCGTCTCTGGTGGTTTCTTGCGCTGGTGAGGTGGAGCTCCCGGGACTAGATTGATTCAGTCTCTGCAGAATGTCCCTGACGACATTCTCTAATTGCGTCACCCTCTCCCGTAGGCTATAGGGTTGGTCTCTGGGGAGGACTCCAGAGACATTGGGAGACAAGGCTCCAGATTCCTGATCAATGCAAATTGAGCCTCTGGAATGGCACTCATTACAGACATTGGGACGGGCTGGATCGAATGTACAGCGGATCTTTCGCCGACGACCTAATCAGATAGAATTAATAAAGAAGAAAAAAAAGGCAGGTTTATTCGTGCCAGAACGAATGAAACAAGACACAATGCCACATTACATCATTGTACATGTAAAATGGGATACGTCTGATGTTTGATAAGTCTATGCAGCAAGGCTTACATTCAGTACAACTCTTCGTCCCCTTCCGCATCTTCTTGCGCGGTGGGCCCGGAATGTCCAGGAAATTTGCTGATGCCATAGCTGCTGCTGCTGGTGAAAGCAACTAGTGGTCCGTCATCAACGCGGAGATTGCTATACTTCTCGTCCGCGAAAGTCCGTCCGAACGATAATAGTATATAGTATAGCTGATGATAACCGGAGTCTCGGACGAAAAAAAAAAAGAGGGATTGGCGAAATTGGAAATTCTGGACCCAACGTATTAGATAATAATTAACAAGAAGAATCCTTAGCAATCGTAAGGAATAATAGTCGTGGCGGAGCTTGTAGGTAGCTAGCTAGCTACCGTAACGGACGATTGATTGATTGATAGCGGACGGACGGACGAAGATGGCCGACGAGATTACGGAGTAGATAGATTATAAAGAGGAAACGTGTTCGGGACCCACCAGCAATGATTATCAATCACTCGAATCCGAGGTAATATTTTCTCCGAATCGATATGTCCGGAGAGTGATAATTAAATGTCTGGAGGAAAGAATAATAAGAGACAGTGATAATGGTGAGTAAGAATGCAGATGCCTGGAGCTGTCGAACTCGGACGAAAACGGACGAAATGCAGTTCCGGCAGAACGCGGAGATAATTCTCAGACTCTGATTGGCGCTTGGCATTGTGCATTATTAAGCGTGTGCCTAATCTGGAATCTTCTTCCAAATTTGGAAAAAAGGTTTTTCTGTCATACCGACTCATACGTCGTGCAAGAGAGTACTCCGTACACAGGATGTCAGGAGTCAGCACCAGTATTAATAATAAACTCACGAATAATCATCCTAATGACTACAAGTGCAGATTTAGCCTGCAGATCTCAGCCTTACATCCTACCTAACACATACAGTACATGCAAATAAAAAGCTAAATTTAGGTGGATCTTATCAACACGTCGGAACATTTCGTCCGCTCCAAAAAAAAAACCAAAAAGGGTCTCCGACTGGTTACCAGAATAGGATAAACTCTACGCGTGCCATACTACGTACTCCGTACTCTGTACGGTACGAGGTGCTTTGCTCATGGTGAGTCAAAAGTACTCGGACTCAGGTCAGATTTTGGTTTCCCCTATCGTCTTGTCATTGGAGCACGGAGGTAAATTCTGTGGGCTCCATGTTTCCATGGACCCCCCGGCCTGTTTCCGTCAAGACGAGACAATAAGACCGGAATTAAGAATGTTTTCTCCATCGATACCCAACAGTACAGCATGGTCAACTCAATAAGCAAGCACAGCTCAGTCAGCTGGCGGGCTCTCAATTTGGCCGATATGATATCGGACCCTGTGGAGCAACAGCAGGTTTGGTTCGGTGAGATGAAAAATGTTATATAGAAGCGGAATGCCATCCTCTTTGTCGACTTCACAATGGCTAGCACATAGCAATCCTAATCTTGTCTTTTTTTTTCTTTCTTCATAGGTCATTTCTTTGCAGATAGCCTTCAGTCAGCATGTCATCCGCAGAACCTGTCTCGAACGACGACTCTGGTCCGCCCAGGGATTCTTCCCTGTCGGGGCATACCGTCCTTGAAAACGATACCGTCGACACGCCAAAAGCTATCAGCCATCCTCCAAGTAACAAAGATGAAAAGGTCACCGACGTTTCGGCAGAAAGCAACAATGGCGATAGTCCCAAGGAGACAGAAGAAGACGAAGGAGAAGAAGTGTATCCGGGCCTTTTCTCCCTTGCCTTCATCATCGTGGCCCTCATCCTCTCCATTTTCTTGGTCTCCTTGGACATGACCATCGTCGCAACGGCCATTCCCCAGATCACGGACGAGTTCAAGTCGTTGGATCAGGTTGGCTGGTACGGGTCGGCGTTCTTCCTGACCGTGGCATCCTTCCAGTCTACCTGGGGCAAGGGCTATAAATATTTCCCGCTGAAGATCACCTTCCTGCTTGCCATCTTTGTCTTCGAGCTGGGGTCTTTGATCTGTGGCGTGGCGCAGAACAGCACGACTTTGATCGTTGGCAGAGCGATTGCAGGTGCGGGTGCTGCTGGAATCGCTAGCGGCGTGTACATTATCATTGCCTTCTCAGCACCGCCTCGACAGCGTCCTGCGTACACCGGTCTTCTGGGTGCAACCTATGCCTGTGCCAGCGTTGTCGGTCCTTTGCTTGGTGGAGCATTCACCAGCCATGTCTCTTGGCGTTGGTGGTATGTACTGAATGTCCCTGGATAACGTTCAGTCACGCTAATCAGTTATCTTTGATGCAGTTTTTATATCAACCTTCCAATCGGAGGCCTAAGTGCCGCAATCATCTTCTTTTTCTTCACCGCCCCTCCCGCTTCAAAACCAGTCTCTGCCAGTTTAAAAGAGAAAATCTGGCAGATGGACCTTCTCGGGACGTTCACCATCATGGCTGCGGTGGTCTGCTACCTGCTCGCGCTGCAGTGGGGTGGAGTCACCAAATCATGGAGGAACTCAGACGTGATCGGGACTCTCATCGGATTCGGCCTCTTGCTCATTCTGTTCGTTATCATCGAGTGGTATATGGGCGAGCGAGCACTGATTCCGGGCCGGATCCTCAAGGACCGTAACGTCCTCGTGTCGAGTCTCTATGTCCTCTTCGTGGTCGGGCCCATGTTCGTCCTGATCTACTACCTGCCCATCTACTTCCAGTCGATCAAGGGCGTTTCGGCAGCCGAGTCGGGCGTTCGCAACATCCCGATAATCCTGTCCGTCAGCTTCCTGACCATTATTTCTGGCGGACTGATCACGGCATTCGGCCAATTCGGCTATCTGATGATCCTAGCCGCCGTGATCGAGACGATTGGATCAGGTCTGATCTATACGTTTGAGATCGACACCCCTGCGGGCAAGTGGATTGGATACCAGATCGTGGCTGGCGTTGGGATTGGTCTGGGATGCCAGATCCCCATCATCGTGAACCAGGCCATCGTGCCGCCGTCAGATCTTGCCAGCGTGTCGGCCATCACGCTCTTCCTTCAGACCATCGGCGGTGCGTTCTGGGTGTCGGCTGGCCAAGCTGCGTTCGCGAACAAGCTGGCTCAGAAAGTCCCTCAAACGGCACCCGGGGTCAATCCGAGCTTGGTCATCGCAACCGGCGCGACGGATCTGCGCAATGTTTTCACGGATGAGCAGCTGTCCGGTGTGATGGAGGCTTACATGGACGGTCTCAAGGTGACATTCCTCTTGTCCATCGTTCTGGGAGGCATCACAGTGATCATCTCACTGTTTCCAAAATGGGTCAGCTTGAAGGGAAAGGTAACAGCTGGAGCGGCTGTTTGAGAACAAAACGACAGTTTTTATACGTTTTTTTTTTCAAGATTTCCTGTGGATTTTCGAGTATTATAGAGCTTGGACTTAATACAAAGTGGTGGAACGAGTGAATGAGTTGATAGACTGGAGCACATCAATATCGGTGGATTGGGGCTCTTTGTTTAGTACATGTATTTAATCATGATGGAATATAAAGAGGTTGAGTTAGAAATGAAATCTCGACTCCTTCCCGACGGGTGAACGAAGGTCCTTCAGGCTTCGAGTATACTCTGGAGTAGTATATGGAGGAATCTGAAGATTACCAACATAGCGGGTCACGGGTTACACACCTAATCCCAATAAGGCTGGTACCCACATAGAACCAATTGTACTCCGTAGGTAGGTAAGGTTATTATTTAGCTTCAAGCCAAGCATCAAGAATGACAAATTAGGTACATTCTGCATCACAAATGCATGTCGTCAGCTGGGCTGCAGCCTAAAAAAACACTCCTGTAGCTGCAGGTATTAGAAATAATCCTATATGCATATACATGCACATATACATCTGCGTACAGTACATTTTTACTCCGGATGTCTAGACATACACACATATGTATGTATGTATTTGTCATAGATGGAAGACATAACATAAATCAAATTTTCATTCACTTCATTTTGATAGGAAGCAGAGCTTATTATTATTATTTGAATTACTTGCATAATTAAGTATCCATTCTTTGTGCTGATTGGATCGAAAAAGCACGTACCTACCTACCTACGTATCTACCCACTTACCTACAGGACATACGTCTTGAACGAGAAGGGGAAAAAAAAAGCAATGCCAGTCACAGAAATCGCTCTCCTTCGCCTCCAATCCTGCAAGCCTTTGTTGTCCTCGTCGTCAAACTCCCCATCCCTCGCAGCCAATCTCAGAAAAGCAAAGGACGCGCAGGAGGCATACTCCCACCATCCGGTGCATTTCTTCGCCCAGGTGGAGGACCCCTCGTACATCTACCTGCTTGGCGGCTGAGACTCTGTCGCGACGCATGTAGAAGACTGGATCCCGTCGACGATGAACCAGGACATGATGGAGCTGCTCAGTGATGATGACATTGAGGTGTGCTGGATGTTCCATGTCGATATCGACCCGCGACAGTCACAGGCAAAACTCCAGTTTGATGCGCCCACGGTCGTCATCGGGCGGTATTTTGTCAAGGACGGGAAAGGGGGTGAATTCCAGGAGGCCTATGATGCGACAAGTCGGCATCTGGCCGCTGGCTTTTCGAGTACGCGTCCGTTTCGGGGAGGTTGGAGGATTGACGAGGAAAGCATTGGAGGTCTAGCAAGCGATGATGAGAAAGAAGAGTTCGTGCTGTTCTCGGGCTGGGACGATGTGACGCATCACATGCGCTTTGCGGAGTCAGAAGGCTTCAATGAGTTTGATAAGCTGAGAGATCTGATTGATGGTGCTGTGGTCAAACATGCTGTCAAGCTGATGTTGTAAATCACAGTTCTTCTCTAAGTATATGTATGGCCGGGGGAGTAAACAGAACATTGAGTATATCGTTAATTTCAGGTTCAGATGATATGGAGAAATTTGAATATATATATAACGACTTCATAATTCATTCGTCCAAAAAATCATAAACTTTTCCGAAAAGCTCAAAGTAACCGCCGAATGAGAACCACGCTAGAGGCATCGGGCATAGAACAGGACAATAACGCTCAAGTAGAATCCTCCGTACATGCTCAATTATAGATCATAGCCGAACCGGACTGAAGTCGTGAGAAAAATACATGTAACCAAAGAAAGAAATATATCCTCAAGGGGACGACGGATCATTAAGATATCTATCTATCAAAACTGTCAAGTCGTATTCATCAATGACGGCTCCGAAACTATTCAGAGTCAGTAAGAAGTTAAAATTGGTCTCAGGTTATAGGGACGTGCTCACCCATAACATTCAGTCTTTTCAGCGATTGCAGCCCGTAAGGCTTCCAGTCGCTCGTGCGTCAGCTTGGAAAAGCCCGGATGGGTCTTGATGAGATTCCACGCCTGCACCGGCGTAAGTTCGCCGTTCAGGTCGAGCGAAAGCGAGAGCTGGAGAAGACGGTCCAGTTCCACTGCGGGGACGTCCCACGATCGCTCAACCCCCAGGTTGGACGCATAGGTGAGCAGCGCGGCCTGCACGGTCAGAGCATGACCATGTGTCTCGCCAGCGCAGATGGGGCGGTATGTGTGTTCCAAGCACGGCTGTTCGAGTCTGCAGAGAGTCGTCAGTTTGAATATCACCAAGGACTTAAGGGTTGTCTATCCGTACGATAGGACAAAATCAATTCCTGTTTGCGTGCTGTCCAAACTGTAGGGATGGGACCCCTTCTTTGGGCTCGGAGGCGGAGAACTCGTTCCTTCGTCGTCTGAGGACGAAGGCGTCCGGACACGCAGATATCGTTGGGGCCCCGGCTTGACAACCATAGAGACCTCAGCGACGCCATCTGTCTGGCGTTGTGGCATTGCCATATTATGCGCGCGCAGAATATCCTTCAGAATTTTATTCTCGATACTGGCTTCTTCAAGCTCCTGCCTGAGAGTCACCTCGTCACGGAGCTGGAGAAGCTGATGCTCGAGCGATCTGATGTAGTTCTCCTTTCGTTCCCGGTGATTTCTAGGTCGTGTCAGAAGAGCAGAGAAGTACGAAAGAAAGAAAGAAAGAAAATGGACGGTAATATGGGAATGGAATCTCTGTTAGATTAAATATTCATACCGCTGCGCTCGTCTGACCTGCTCTCGTCTTCTGGCATACGCCGCCCTTGCTGATTCGGACTCATTCTCAGTCGCAGGACCTTGGAGATTGTTTTATTTTAGTACTTAGAAAAGGCTGATAATCATCAAACACTGGGTCCTGCATGCAGAAAGATCTGAGCTTCCCCACTCTCTTGATGACAGAGAGGCTGGGTTGGGGAGCTTTAGCGATTAATTTCAAATAACCTAAGCAACGCGACATGACCACAGGCCCAACAGAGTGTGTTGAAAGGCAACAGAAAAGCACAAGAGTCGCAGTCTCGAAACATCGATCGATACCCTTTGCGGTAAAAAGCTCTTGAGGCTAAAAAGGGGAAGAGTGGTGATAGGCACGGAGGACAGGATAATGACAAATTATTGCTGGAGATAACGACTTGGGATTTGCAATGCATGAAAGGCCGGTGGGGGGGGAAATGTTTTGTTAGGGTTTCCACTGTGGACACGGGGACGCACCTTCGGCTCCATCCGAGGTGGATTTCCTCCGCCGCGGACGCTCCAGGACGGCGGCCAAGGCCCTTCCGGAGAAGACCTTGAAGCCAATGGACGATTTCTTTGTATGCGACATTGTTTGAGTGGCGTCGGGAGGCAAGCTGATCGATGCAAGCTGGTCGTGATCGAGAGCAGAGGCGGAGAAAAGTGCCAGATGGCGGTGTGTGCTGCTCGCTGGATTGGGAAAAAGGTACGGCGATGATTCCAAATCATGAGGACGCCAATGCCACCGGTCATCGCCAGCCCGATCCCATTGGCCAGCCGCCATGACTACTTAGAATTAAAAAGGAAAATGCTTACAGGGCCCTAGCTACTCCTTCTTTGTCATCTGAGAAATTGTCAGCCTCGATGTAGACAGTCCTCAAAGCTGGATTCCGCCCCCATGAGCATATGTACGCATACGTCATGTCCATGAGCTGATGCTAAACTCGTCTGGCCAGCCTTGAGGAACTGATGTGGCTGACAGAGCGGACATAAAATAAGCATGAAACCATACAAGCTAGATCCTGATGGAAGCTTCTAGCTTGAGGGATATCCGTGCTCTCATCTCAAGCATGACAGCCATCCCGTGTCTTCCCCATAACGGGTCGGTTAGCTGTTTCATTTAGATGAAGGGAGTGTCAATCCATATAGCAGGCCCAAACAATTTACTCCGTACTAAGATGAACTGATGTGTCCGAGTTACTGTTAGCTGTTCTGCTGACACTATACAATAGCTAGACTAGACGTAGATTCCCGTTCGATTTCACTAATTAGTCGTATTCAACACAGGTAGATGAAGCGGAGAGTGGGGAGGACAAAAACAGGATCTTATACATCTGGAATAAAGAAATTGGTACAATATACAGTACATGATTCAAAACGAAAAAACTCCTCCTTGGTGCACCGTCCCGATGTATCCCGTTTTCCCTCTCCGATTCCATGTCAGACATCAGCGCTGTGCGAGAATGTGCAAACAAAAAAAGGAGATAGCCATCGTACAGAGGAGCCCGTCGCCTAACGCCGTCGAGGCAAACAAGTCGCTTACTCAAGCACACGAGTGACCAGACCAGTGGCCACGGTGCGACCACCCTCACGGATGTTGAAGCGCTGGCCAACGTCGGCAACGATCGGGCGGTGGGTCTTCATAACCATTTCGACGTTGTCACCAGGGAAAACCCGACGGTCAGGGTCTTCACCTTCCGGGAAGGTCAGATCGGTAGCCTCATCTGGAGAGAGAGAGAGAGAGAAAGTTAGTCAGGACACAGACCACGAAATATCGGCAATTCCATAGCCAGAACTTACCTGCAGTGCGGATGAACACCTGGGGACGGTAGTGGGCGCCGAATGGGGTTCGGCGACCACCCTCAGCCTCGGTGAGAACGTACATAGAGACCAGGAATTTGTCGTGAGCCTTAGCACCACCGGGCGCAGTAACAACCATGCCACGGCGGATATCCTCACGCTTGATACCGCGCAGAAGAAGGCCCGAGTTGTCACCCGCACGGGACTCGTCGCACGACTTGTGGAAGGTCTCAATGTCCGTCACCTTGGTCTTGATGGGTTCCTTCTGAGCACCGACGATTTCAACCTCCGAGTCCTTCTTCAAAACACCCCGCTCAACGCGACCAGAGGCAACAGTACCACGTCCAGAGATCGAGAACACCTCCTCAATGGGCATCAGGAAGGGCTTCTCGAGATCTCTCTCGGGAGTAGGAATCCAGTTGTCCACAGCATCGAGGAGCTCATCGATCTTCTTCTCACCAATCTCGGGTTCACGGCCTTCCAGGGCGCAGAGGGCAGAACCAAAGATAATCGGAGTGTTCTCACCCTCGAATCCATAGCTGTTGAGTAGTTCGCGCATCTCCAGCTCGACCAATTCCAACATCTCCTTGTCCGCGACGGCATCAACCTTGTTGACGAAGACGACGATCCTCTGCACTCCAACCTGACGAGCAAGCAGCAGGTGCTCACGTGTCTGGGGCCTGAGCTCCTGTCAGCTCTTGACTTGTACATGGAAAAAAAATGGTAGAATTCCTTACATCTGACCGTCAGAGGCAGCAACGACGACAATGGCACCATCCATGCTAGCAGCACCAGTAATCATGTTCTTGATGTAATCGGCGTGACCGGGGCAGTCAACGTGGGCATAGTGCCGTTTCTCGGTCGAGTACTCGATGTGGGCGGTCGAGATGGTAATACCACGCTTCCGTTCCTCGGGAGCCTTGTCAATAGCACCATACTCGAGGAATTGGGCAAGACCCTTTTCGGATTGGCGCTTCGTAATCGCAGCAGACAACGTGGTCTAGGAGATTGTGGTCAGATAATGAGGCATCATGAGCATTTAAGGGCCAGCAAGCACTCACCTTTCCGTGGTCGACGTGACCAATTGTGCCTTGAAAGAACCAGTCAACAACAAGATAAGACGTTGGAGATCGCTGGATACAACATACCGACGTTGACGTGAGGCTTCGTCCGCTCAAACACCGTCGCGAAGCCACGGGCAGCCATCCTCTCGCTGCTGAAGACATGGTGCACAGGATTGACAGAACGCGGGCGAAGCAGGGAAGACCTGCTGCTCCGCAGGAGGAGGTTCACTGTTCTGGAGATGCTCGACATCTTGGCTGCTCTTCGATCAATACAATTGACGGGAAGCGAACGGGGGAAAGAAGAAGCGAATGCTCAAAAGTGTTTACAGCTACCTGGGATCCGAAGTCGAAAGTTCTCCGGCTGGCCCAAATTTTTTAGGACTTCTGGCTTAGTCACCTGACCCGCGCGCCAGCCAATCGACGGCCGGGATTTGCGGAGTCGTCAAGGAACAGATGACAAGCTCCAATCCATGGATCGGATCTTGCGAGCACGAAAATTCTGGCAGCCTTGGACTACAAGTAACATATGGCAAGTCCTGGGACAGCTTGCCCAAAGTCCAGGATCCAAGGTGGCCCTAGAATTCGTGTTCTTTTAATGCAACAAACCCACCCGACCACCAATACAAGCGCCTCTCTATGCAAGTAGATATAATAATACATACATGAGTACATACATTATGTCCATCCCAGGCAGCCTTCCGGGCGATTTTGTGACATATCCAGATACATGCTCCAGCTCCCCGTCTATGGTTCAAGATTCCTTCTTTTTAAGAACAAATATAACGTGTTTACCAGGTTGCCCTTCCATTGGCTTGACCTGCATAGCATTGACCTCCTCAATTGCCTCCGTCACACTTTCCATGAGGTTATTTACTTCTTCTGCCGTAGGCGCCCGCTTTCCTTTTTCCGGGTCAATATCAATTCGACTCTCCGGCCCTTCTCGATGAACGACGCCAGTTGCTTTAGGCGGTGGGCAAGGTCATGCTGATCGATGGCCCAGTTCAATTCGATCTGTTTCGTCGACGTCTTGGCCGCATGCGCAGCCTTTGCTTTTGCCTTTTCCTGCTCGCGCATCATCTTTTTGCTCAGAATCTTGCACACCGGGGGTCGACCATCTCCGCCTGGTGCCACTTGCACGAGAGTATATTCACTGCGCTGCAAGGAGCTCAAGACATCAGCAGTGCGTACAGGCGGATCGAGGCCGCCATTCTCGTTCACAATCTGTATTGTCTCGGCCTGAATGGCCTCATTCTGAACGACCCCTGCTTTCCCCTGAGCGGCCGAAGCAGTAGTTTGAGACGCCGTACGGGGTCCGGAATAATGGATGAATCTAGATCGTAGCTGCCTCCGAAGAAATTGATATCTCTGAAAGGACAATCGCTCAATTTGCGGAGGGTGGAGGAAGGCGTGGCGGAGGGCTTGTGCGG